CTGTACAGGGAAAGTTAAGTAATCTCCAGGTGATTACTTTTGTGAGCCCTTACTTTTATTTTTCTTTTTTTTCCCCTTTTTTAACGTATTTTTAAATTCAGTGACGAATTTTCTTACATCTGTTCACTGCTGTAGGATGCAAAGCGTTGTTAAAACTTAGGTTTGCTCTGTATGTGCTTGTGGTGAGTAAATGCAATTGCATTGCTAGAAAATTAACATGATCAGAAGCACTAATTAATGTCATTGAAGAGGATATGCATCACAAACATCTTCTATAATTCACATAATTTAAACTTCGTTATTATTCTATAAAAAGCTGAAAATTATTTTCACTTTCTTAATGATGTAGTCAGGTTGCTCAAATGAGACACCAGAAATAGATACATGTTGGAAGTGTGCAGCTAGAAAGGAGCAGTGAGAAACAACTGAATTCCAAACATGGACAGCAGCAGCTTCTTTACTGACCCATGGGCATGATGCTGTGCTGTTACTGGAGAGCAAAATCAAGGAAATTGACTGACACCAAGCGTAACATTTACTTTTCTGCACCGTGAAGGTAAGAAGAGATCATTACAGTCATCCTACTTCATAAAGAGCTTTTAGGCCATTGCATTCAAAAGATTATTGAATGCCAGTGTAGAATTCCAGCATTCGGTGGCCTGTTGTGCTGAAGGGGACGCAGGAACAGCATCTGAGACTGAGTGATTTTTGAAGGAGTAAACTAATTAATGCATCATAGCGTATTCATTTGGCACGCACAGTCCCATTTGTGTGAGTGTTCATTTAGTGGATACTGTTTGTTCTGTTTCACAGCAGGTGAGATAAAAAGAGGATAACGTGTTTGTGGTCTCCACAAGCTGTGCAGGCATCCTGAATGAGTCTTGGTTACCACTGTCTTCTGTGCTGTTAATGGTGTTCCTACCCAAGTTCTCCTATACTCCTGAAAAAATGAGTTCTACACAAGGATATTGCCTGGAGAAACATAAAACGTGTTCCCTTGCCTCAAGAGGATCAATTCTAAGTTACCTGTGACGCCCTGCTGTGCCTAGCAGTGCTCACGATGAGTCCAGTTCCAGAACAAAGAGCCAGGGTTGTACTTTGGCACAGCAGGCGTGCATGCATGTCCTGCTGCTTTTAAGGAGATACACTATGTCTACTTATTTATAAGTATGCATACATATATAAAAAAAAGTCAGCTGGAATGGTATCTTACATTAATAAATGGCAGCATGTAAAAAAAAAAAAGTTGTTTTTATAATCTGAAATGTGTGTAACTCAACTAGTAGTTTCCAATAATCCAATTATCCAACAATACCAGCCAGAAAGGGGGATTTATTTTATTTTTTTCTTCCGGAATGTTCAAAATAAGAGCCAAGGTTTGCATAGATTTCTTTGTGTGGTTATAAATTCAGAAAAACTGTATCAGGGTTATAGAGCTTGATTCTCACTTGTTTACATCACTAGCTTGCTCTCGAGGAGTCAATGCCTCATGCAACCAGGTAAGCAAGCAAAAGGAAGGAGTCTGTCAAAGTTGCTGTTCAAATGCACTGCATCTATCAGTGCCTACTGTGCTTCCCTTTAATTCTGTTGCCATAACATGGGAACCATAATGACATTTGCCTCAATCTGCTAAGATCCTTGACAACTGCAGCCAAGGCTTTTTGTGGTGATAAAAATTGTGTACCTTTTTAGACAATTTCTGCTGATACTACATTTAGAAATTGAGTCAGTGCAACAAACTGTCTCCCAGTCAAATGCAGAGTTGCTATATATCTTATGAACATATCATAGATGACTCCAGCAAAGGTTTATTGCCATTTTTTGCAGAGGGCTGTAACTGAAAATTACAGATTGCATTCCAAGAACCAGCTTACCCTACCGCACTTCTTAAAGGGCACTATCAAGTCTTTTAAGGCATCATTTTTTTCCTTGCAGTTTTCTTTTCCCCTGATGTGACATTTCTAAATACAATTTCTTTTTAAATGTAATTTTATCTGCCTCTTGAAATGTACCACTTCTTCACCACTTTAATGCTATTGACATGTTTGTCTTTAGATTGTGCTTATTCTGCACAACACTATTCATCAAAGTCATCAGCATGAAGAGGATTTGTTCTTCAGCTCAGTGTTTCCACCAATGCCTTGTTGAGGTGACCTTTCTAAAACACTGTCATAGAGATATCCATCTTGATAATTGTCTACACAGTTTTGGGAAATCCCAGCTATTTCTTTCCTATCACAGGCCTTGGCCTTTTATATGCATTATTAACCATCAGGAAACAGAGCAAGCAAGAAAAGTAGTGTGTATGCAAAGCTTGGGGTTTTAAAATGCATTTTGCTGTTTTTAATGGAGTCAAGTATGTGAAGCAGCCTGAACAGAACTTGATTTGTAGCCTGAAGGTGGAAGTGATCAGTTCTGTACCCAGTGGTCAGCCTGTGTGCCAATCAGCTTTGCATTTATGAATACTCTGATGGAATCTTAACATATTTTGATCAATTTATAGAGAAGAAGGCCTGAAATTTTATTTTTTAAAAACTAACAAAAAAAAAAAAAAACTTATGAAATCTTAAAAAATTCCCTGTGCATTTTGTAAATATCTGTCTTAATAAAGTTAAGTTAAAAGCCATAATTCTCAGCAGTTTAAATGCTTGTGATTACAATTTCTGTGTTGTAGCTTCTGTTGCCGTTTTGCTTTTGTAGTCATCTGGGTAAATACATTCTGAACAACGTTACTGGCCTTGGATGGTTAAAGTACTGGTAATGAGAAATGGAAAGAATGAGCAACCTGATGGCTATTAAAAGAAGGCTGTCAACAGAACCTTCTGAAAGCACATCTAGTGTGTGTCTGCATGTGTTTGTATCACTCTGTGAATCTGTTTGTAAAGTACAGTGCTCAGTATGCCTAAGCTGTCTGAGTCAGCTCAACACTTCTGTACATCCATCTGAGGATTAACCACATTCTGTATAGTCTAAGATTTGTATGGGAATAACAAGCAAAATCCCAGACCATAAATTTGCTCTCATTTTGTGTGGATGAGTCCCACTGGTATATACCAAGAAAATTAGGTTGATGAGTGAGAAATATTTTAGAATTGCCAATAGACAACCAGATTTTATGGCTACAAAATTGAGCCATCATTAGATATAGCTGATTCTTAAGTAAATTTCTTAGAGAAAGTGCAGTAGACTCTAAGTCTACTTAGAGTGCATGAGAGATCTCTGCAAGCTTCCTCAGGAATCCCACTCCAAGAATATTGTCATTAGTCCAAAGCTGAGTACACAATGTAAAAAAATAAATAGTTTATAGATCTGAATCTAGAGTTTTTTCCATTCTTATTACCCACTCTTGTCCTGGATTCGTAGACTACCTTCTGCAGGTTCAGATTACCTTCAAGCATTCCCAGCTGATTTCAGTGGAAAGGAACTGTCCAAGTGCCTTGTAATCATACTGTGATAATAGATGTTTTCAATGCTTTGGCACCCTTTCACGCTGCTGAAAGCAGTGATTTTATTACTCCTGTCAACTCTATGGGGTTCAGCTGTTTCCCAGCCCGTTGTTTGCTTTTTTTTTTTTTTTTTAATTAATTCAGTGGAAACAACCAGACTATAAAATGGTTAAAGAAAAGCTTTCTGCAGACCGTTTTATTTTCTGCTTGTAGAATTTTGTCTTAAAGCTAGGCTTTGTGAATTAGCTCTCCAGCTTTGGAAACTCGGATCTTGATATTTAAAAGGAAATGTAGGACCCCTTATGGCACTTTTAACATACACAGCACCAAGGCTGAAGATAAAATGTGAAAGTGCTCTGCATGCAGTGTTGTGTGTGTTTATATGAAGTTTATATTATGCCTAGGTGCCAGCAGTGCGTTGTTGTGGCTAGTTCTGTGGCTTTGAGGATGCAGTAAGATGCCTGCTGCACCTGATCAGCTGGTTTAATCTCCTGCAAACCGTGCATCTGTGCTGAAGGTAAGTCTTTTGGAATGTATTAACTGTATTTAATTTGGATGATTTGGGGAAGTAATTAATATCTCAGGAAATGCCTGACAAATGTTGACTGAGTTGAATAAAGAACAGAGGTTCCCTACTGAGATTCATGCTTAGTACTGTGTGCTCTCCTGTATTGTCTGTAGAAAATATCTTTGTCCATCAGAGAAACAAAAAGACCTTCAGCAGATTGTTTTATTGAACTCTTTGTAGATATTAAGAAACATAACACCAGCACTTCTGCCACACTGCTGTCATTAAATAATAAATCATTGCTGTAGCTGCCTAATGGGATATGTAGCAATGCTGATGGTGGCAATCTAGACCAGAACTAAAGTAGATTAATTTAAAACAGAGCAAAAATAGTAGATAGCAGAGCTCAGCACAACAGTTCTGGGATTGGAACCTGGTATCTAACCACAAGAAAGAGAATAACATAAATTAGATCTAACAAAAAAATGATAACAGTATCTTTCACGGTCCTTACTTGTCCTCCAACACCTAATTATGGAACTGTCCTACAAGCATTAATGAACAGAACACATTTTTAGCACTCCTACTTATCTAAGATCTCTTATCCTAATGTAGATAGAAAACAGAGGCTCTGGAAGGCGAGAAATGTCTTCTGATCAGAAGTGCTGTTGACCTGTACCTGCCTTTTATCCCAGAGGAGGTATGGATGCACAGGGCTTAGGAAAGGAAGGTTCTATTTCACATCACTTGATAGTGAGGTTTGCCACTGAAGAGTGCTTCCAACCAAGCAAAGCTATTTCCTATAGAAGCTTGGGCTTCCCGAGCCCAAGCCCATCTGTGGAGGCAGTAGGAGTGCACAGCTGGCAGTCCCAGTGCAGGGCCTGAGGTGAGAGCTGCCCATAGCCAGGCAGGCACAGGGAATCTGCTTTGGCTGCCTCGAAGGGAGCACCCCTGAGCTGCCACTGCAGGCTGCCTGGGCTACGCACAGCCCCAAGAGCAGAACTGCCTGCAGCCAGCTATTGCATTGCTGTGCATTGCATCTGTAACATGGAATGCCTTATCACATTATTAAAATCTATCTATTTTAAAGAATTATTCATCAGATGACTTAAAGAATCATCGATTCCTAGACAACGAGCTGCTCTGAAAACAAGTAAGTCTCTGTGAGGAACTGGGTGGTAGAAAGCCAAGGAAACCAAAAGTGATTGTTCTGTTAGTGTGACTTTGGTTGTTTGCCCTGTGTAGGAGTCTGACAAAATGTGCAAACGTTGAATTTGCAAAACTAATTAGCACATAAAAGTCCAGCTGTAATAGCAATCAAAACTTGCTGGTTCAACATACTATGGTTTTTTGGGGGGGGTTATTAACACATCCTGCACATATGGCCCCAGTTGAATATCTGGAGCTGCTCATATCAGCAAGTTAATATCAGGGGATTTAGCTGCAAGTTTTTATTGGTGGCAGTTGCAGAACCAACATGTGGTCTGACTGACTGGTGCTTCCAGCACTGTTTGCATCTGTAGGGAAAAGAGGAAAAAGTGACTGTTACTGCTCTCCTTACCCTCCACAATAATGAGGTACTGTGTTTTTACAGACTCTCTGGTTGAGATTGCTGTTTGAGAGACCTGGTGGACTGTGGCCTTGCTAGAAGTTGTAACTACGGCAGCAAGGCAACGCTGGTGGTTTGCATGTCACTGCTGAGATTTACTTGCTCATAGTTGTTTAATTGCAGGATTTCGCTGGCATTTTCTTCACCTAGGGACTGCAGGGAGAGGGACAGCACCAAAGTACGAACGAAGATTTCATTTTACCTTTTTCTGAAACAAAAACCAACCGAGCAAACAAAACACCCAGACAACGGAAAATGCGAACGTTGTAGATTTGCTGTTTCCCAGTCAAGGTAGGTTGTCTTGTAAAACTTACTCCAACAAAATTATTTCAAAAGACCTCTTTCTCTGCGATTCTCAAATCACCACTTGGTAAATTTTAGCATTTAAAATCAACATTAGGAGGAATTTTAGAAGTTTCACTAGATAGACAAACAGAATCTATTAGCCCAAAGTAGTTACTGAATTGCAAATAGAGAACTGCTTATGACTGACACAAAAGGTGCTTCTACTAGACTGTTTCTATACCAGACACAATGCTTTACTTAATGTGCAAATACAGTGCTTTTGGCGTGACACAGCTGCCTTTGATCTCTGTAAATGACTGACAGTGAATTATTTATGTTGGAAACTGACCGGCAGAATGTCTTAGGGAAGATGAATGGATGTGATGTTACCTTGCAAAACCTGCCAAACATCAACAGAGCTCAGATCTTGGTGGGAATCTATGCAAAGTACTTGATGGTACTTAGGCTACATGCTGGTAAAAATACATACAATAAAGCACTCTTCTTGAAATAAGTCGGGGAAACTTCTGCTCTCATAGTGAACAAAGAAAGCCAGACTTGGTGGATAATATGCTGGCACTTCCTTCTCTTCCAGTTCTCTTCAAAGTGGTAAGAATGGGTTTAATTAGTCCTTTTTAAAGCACTTTAATTCTTCCAAGCATTTTCTTCTTACTTGAGCGAAATAATTAAGAAGTTTTTATTATGTTTAATCAAAATAAGATTTCTGGATTCCTTCTTTCGATAATAATGATTTTAGTTGTGATATTTTTATAACCATGCATATTTTCTAATTCAAATTGCATTGCTTTTTATTTCCAAGGTGAGTTCTTGCATGCAAACTGCTTCATGAAATAAGAGAACTTTATTGTAGGTAAACTGCGCGCTTGCTCAAAGACTTCTTTAATACTTTAAGAATGAATCTGTTGAATTATGTGTTCCACATATTATTGCTGTATTTTTCTTATGTTGTGTTCCATCTTTTCTTTTTACTGAAATAAATTCAGGACTTTAGAGCCCTACTGTAGATTGCAAACTGAAATTCTTGATACATATATTTAATAAGAAAGCTTAAACCGTTTTAATCTGGACCACGGAAGAAATCTTTCAGTTCCTGGATTTTTTCAGTTGTTGTTTTGATTGATGGTTGGATTGATGTATTGATGTTGATGGTGTTATTTGAGCAAGCCACGTAGAAAAGAATAGACACTTGTAACACTGCTCTTCCTGTTTACATTTTCTCCTGAATTTTGTTTTTCAAGATTAAAATTTATGTATAGTGAGAATAGAGACATCTTCTATTTACAGCGATCCCATGCTTTTGGCAATGAAAACAGACTTTATCTCTACTAGAACTAAATCTAAGCACAAAGAATGATGAAGTTAGAAGTGAGACCTGGGGATCTTGTGTTTTATGGGGTTTTCCTCCCTGCCCCTCCCTAGCATTTAATCAAAGCCACAGTCATCATGTAATTTTAACCACCTTGCAACACACTAATGATTTTATTATGTTCTGTCTACTTGACAGTGCTTAGCTGCTTTCAAGTTTAAGACATCATTACAGAGTTAGCATATATTTGCTTTAAACTGTCTACAGTCTGTATTGAATATATACAGATAGTCAGCTAAGTCTTGAGTTACTCTTGCAAGTAGTGTCAATAACAAGTTCTGTAGTGTTTTGTTCAATGCTTGCTAACAGTATTTTGCATATCTGTCTGTGTACATGTTATAATCAAATAATTATAGCTCTAATCTGATAGAACTATGTGTCTTACAGATCCCTAATGTGAAAGAACTAATAGAACAAATCCCTTCTTTAAGAATATGCCTTGTCTGTACTTATGTAGTCACTAACATTCAACTCTAAATACTGTACAGTCTAGGAAAAAAAAAAATCTGATGTTATTATATAGACCTGGGCCAAGTTTACACTGAAACAGTGACCTAGACTGTGATCCATCTAAACATTTAATAATGTCCTTAACTTAAGTATGTGAATAATCCCTTTGAAGATCAATGGGACTACTTAAGTGCTTAAGACTAGGTTCGTGCTGTAATACTTTGCCAGACTGTGACAGAATTTTCTGCAACTGCTTGCTGGAAACATGCTACAACTTTAACCTGAAGTACATTTCAATAATCAACATTATTGTCTTATAATAATTTAAACAAATGGACTTTTCATCTGTGTTTTATAGCAGTATTCTTGCACAAGACACAACTGCTCATGTGTGTGTTTTCAGGAGAGCGGATGGAATTTATTTGTGAGAGGCTCTATCCCAGCCAAAACAGGACAAGCTATAAATTGTGAACTCCTCATTGACCTCTAACATACAGAAGAATCAAAGAAGGTGGAAAGTGGTACTGATTGCCAAGGATGGGAATAAGCAAGAACTGAAGGTCACGGGTTGCAGTGAGAAAGGTTCTGATTAGAGCTGGGGAAAACACTTCATAGCAGGAAACTCCAGACCTCGAAGAAGTTGTCCAGGCAGGCTGTGGGTTCTCAGCTGTTGAAGTTTCTCAAAACTTGCCTGGCCAGTCTGTGAGCAAACCAGCCAATGTTGGTCCTATTTGGAGCAGGATGTTTGGACTAAATGACTTCCAGTGGTTCTTTCCAAACCGAAGCTCTAACAAAGGTGAAGATGCAGAAAGCAGTGCATGTAGGAAGAGGAATCAGTGGGAACCATTCAGCAGAACGGTTTGCTGTTCAGCAGAAAGTCAAACCCATCAACAACAGACACCATGGGGTTTTTTCACCTTAGACCTCATGTTCAACAACTGCTATGAAAAGGAGGTTGCCAACAGAATGGCAACATTTCAACAAAATCAAGGCCGAGGAGGCTGGAGGGAATGAGAGTTGCTGTATAGTTAGTAACCAACTGCATCTGTTAAAAATGTTACCCTTAAATGGGTAGTAGGGTTATTTAAATGCTTGGCTCACTGCCCATGGTTACATACTTCATGTATTTTTTGGCATCTCTGATCCCAGACTGGCTATATGCTGAAAGCAGGGCCTCTTTCAGATGGTTGGGCTGAAGCTTGGCATATAGCAGTCTAAAACTTACTAGTTGAACTTTCATAACAGCATTTGACCCAATGACTCAGTAGTTCAATACCAGCTACTATTTTTCTCAGGGATTATTTGATTTAGTCTCATTTATGAACCTGTAGTGGGAAGATATAAGTGGAAGAACTTATGGGGTAATCAGTGTGTAGTAATGAGTGTAGAGGCTGCTCCTGGTGCACTGGCAGTATTGCTCTTCCAGAAGCAGACTTTGAGAGCACTCCCCAAAGTTTAGGTCTTAGCTGCTCTTATTACTAAATGCTTCTCAGTCTTACAGTCACTGCACTGTCTTTGACTTCTTTGGTTGTAAGGCTTGAATTGGGGAAATGCTGCAGAAAATTGTGTGATCTTCTGTTTCAGCTTTAGCGCTTACTAATTCCTGCTTATCTCTTAATGTAACAAGTTTCCTTTATGCTTTTCGCCTTGCCCCTGGCGAAAATGAAATGCCGTACTGCCAGCGTATGGCTGACGTTCATCACATTGAACTTCATGTTAATATTCTCAGAGTTCATTGCATTTTAACCTTCAAAATGTCCAGACTAATTTAAGAATGTGTGAAAACTGCTGCAGATTAGAACGAGTGAAAAAGTCTGTGTCCTTGACATACATTACATGCTTCATTAATTTAAGCAGGTAATCTGTGTTGGTTTGCATTCTTAAAAATGAATTCTTTCCTCAGATATAAACAGTGTTCATTTATATCAGTAGGGACAGCAGATCACACTCTTGTGATGTGTAGGAAATCACTATCCTGTATTTTTAAACTGCTTCTTTGGAGACGTCCAATGTTGGTTTGCTCCCATCTCAGTTCCATGCTGAAGAATAAACCTGTTTTTTACATTCTTAGTAATGGTCTTACTTTCAGATGATGGAAGCCCTCAAACTGCCAGGTAGTTCTAGTCATGGTGCTCAGGAGTTGTGCAACTGGGTGTGCAACAGTCAGATTTCTTAACTCCAGAACCGACAGAGGGCTGTAAGAGGCAGCTTTATCAAGAACAGGTTTTCTGGTTTGGATGACAGAGGTGCAACTCTTTGAAAATACACCTCAAAATAATTCAATACATTGAAGTGTTGAAACCACGTGTCCCTGTAAGAGAGAGCGTTGCTTTCTGAAAAGTTTCAGTACAATCATGTCAGTACTGTTTATTTACTGGAGGAAGGGCTTCACAAGAGCTCGGTGCAAGGAGGAGTGCTGGTAGGTGGCTGAGGTGGGTGCTAGGGTTAATGTCTGTATTCCAGTGAGGGCAGGAAGTTCTCAAGACTCCTATGGATTCATTATTTTATTTTTTTATAAATAAATGGTTATTGCATTAATCAAATTAGTGCTTTGGATTTCTTTATTTTTCTTGACAAAACAATGTCCTAATCAGTGCATTGTGGAATGTTCCACTGGGAGTTTAGCTTAGTTTCATCTGTACTTTTGGAACAGGGAAAAAATTCATTGCAGTGCAAGGTGGCAAAATCAATTAAATCTTGATTTCCATGAGACAGTGACAGCTGTTTCTCATTCGGATCTAGCCCTTCCTGCACAACAGGCAATGGAACACTTCGTTCAGAGTTTTATGGTTTTAATGCAGGGGTAGAACCAAGCGAATGAAAGCGCGGCTGAAGCCAACCACACTTCATTCTGTCTTTGCCAGACTGGTGCTCAGCACAATGGCACAATGCAAGCCAGAGCTTTTGGGATACTTGCAGCTGCACAGAGATGTGTTTAACTTGGGTGTCTTGGTAGCTGTTGACATACTGAGCGTGCATTCCTCTTGTAAGTAGGTGAATGAAGCAAATACTTTAAAGTTGAGCGCAGCAGGATATGTAGTGCATGAAACCTGTGTTTTTATACACAACTGGAGAAACTTCTTAAAGGTAATGCATGCTGTGTGCTTTGGAGAAAGAACGGATGATGTCATCTAAGAGTAGCTTTCTTTTAAGTGTACACGTTGACATA